GCTTGTTCAGCTGTCTGTCTCAGTTTCCTATTCCACTTGTCCTGGCTCACCAGCCTGTCTCAAGGAGACTCAGTAGACTCAGTACTTCCAACAACATCCAGTGATAACAAGGCCACCCCCATCCTGCAGTCAATGAAGGCCATGTAGGGAGCTGAAACTCCTGCCCTGCGGGGCAGTAATGAGTTGCCCCTCACCTCAGGTGTAAATGGAGGCCAGGTGGGAAACCTGGCCTGCGACCCCTTCCTGGCTGTAACAAGGCACTCGCACACACTTCCTCTGCCTGAGTATTATCAGAGAAAGCCGACCACAACCGGAGGTTTAAATACGATCCAGAATCCAAAATGCCCAGGTTTTAGTTTAGTTCATCACACCAAGAATAAGGAAGATTCCAAACTGAATGAAAACAGACAACACCTAGATGTCAGAGATGTTAAAATTATGACAAAGAGTTTAAAGCAGTCATCATTAAAATGTTTCAATGTGCAGTTACAACATGTTTCAACAAACTTTTTAAAATGTCCCAGCAAAGAAATTCAAACTTTCAGCACAGAAATAGAAGATATAAAAAAATAACTAAATGGAAATTTTAGAACTAAAACAATACCCTCAGTGGATGGGCTTAACAGCAGAGTGGTGGAGACAAAGGAACATCACAGTTAACTATAAGATAGAATAGAAATTACTTGAACAAATGAAATAGAATGGGGGGGGGGGGGGATTGGTGGACAGAGTCACAGGGACTTGTGGGATTACAACAAAAGATCTAACATTTGTGTCACTGGATTCCCAGAAGGAAAAAAGAAAAAGAACAGGACTGAGAAAAAAAAAAAAAAAAACTGCTATAAAAAATAAGGCTGAGCCGAAACAGTGTGGCTCATTATCGTCCCATGTACCCAGAGGCACCAGTTTGATTCCCTGGGGCTCGAGCCCCTGTAGGAGGCATGCAGGAGGCAGCCAATCAATTTCTCATTGATGTTTCTATCTCCCTCTAAAAAACTCAATAAAAACATTCCAGATCTAGGGCTAGATAAAGCATTAGCTGTAAAAGGGAAGACGATAAAATAGACTTCATGAAAATTAAAACACATTTGCTCCACAAAAGACCTGTTATGAGGATGAAAAGACAAGCTAGTGATTTGGGAGAAAATATGTGCAACCCATATACCTAAGAAAAGATATTATCTAAAGTATATAAAGAACTCTCAAAGTCCACAGTAAGAAAACAATCCCATGAAAAAATGGTCAAAAGACATGAAGGACATTTCACCAAAAATGGCATATAGATAGCAAACAAGCGCATGAAAAGATGTTCAGTGTCATTAGCCATTAGGGATATACAAATAAAAACCACTGTTACATATCACTACACTAGAATAAAAAATAATGACAATATGCCCTGGCCGGTGGTTCAGTGGTTAGAGCGTAGGACTGTGCACCAAAGGGTCATCGGTTTGACTCCTAGTCAAGGGCACGTACTTGAGTTGCAGGGCAGGTGTGGGAGGCAACCAATCAAGCAATGTGTCTCTCTCACATTAATGCTTCTCTGTGTGTGTGTGTGTGTGTGTGTGTGTGTGTGTGTGTGTGTCTCCTCCTCTCTCTGCCTCCCTCCCTCCCTTCCACTCTAAAAATCAATGGAAAATATATCCTCAAATGAGGATTGATTGACAAAAAATAAAAATAACATAATGACAATATCGAGTGCTGGTGAAAATAATGCCCCAAAAAATGGATCATTCATGTATTGCTCATGGGAATGTAAAATGGTAAACCATTCTGGAAAACAATTTGGCAGTTTATTTTTCTTTAAACTAAATATGCAATTTTCATATAACCAAATATTTGCACTCCTGGGCATTTATCCCAGAGAAATAAAAACTAATGTTCACACAAAACTTGTACACAGATGTTTATTGCAGATCTCTGAATAATAGTCAAAAATCGGAAACAAAGCAGATGTCCTTCAACAGGTGAGTAGTTAAACAAATTGTGGTACATCTCTCTCAATAAAAAGAAACGAACTATTGATACACACATAATGTGGGTGGCTCTCCAGAGAAAAATGCTGAGAAAACGTATGCAATCCCCAACATATGCAAAAACCTGTGTATGTAACCTTCTTAAAATGACAAAATTATAGAGATGGAGAATAGATTAGTTATTGCTAGATGTTGAGGTGGGGATGTAACAACATAAGGCATCCTTCTAAATGAAAAGCGTCGTGCGGTCCGGAGAGACCGGTCGTCCCGCTATCCGTACTGGTGCAGTTTGTCCCGGCCGTGTTGGTGCGGGGGCGCCCCGATATTCTCACTCGAGTTTTCTGTCTTCCCTCTCTCCAACTATTGTACAAAAAATGGAAAAATACCTCGTAGTTAAAAAAAAAAAAAAAAAATGTCCTGTATCTTGGTGTATCAATGTCAATATCTTAGTTGTAATATTGTACTATAGTTTCATAAGATGTTACCACTGGAGGGGAGAGGAAAGCTAGGTAAAGGACACGCAGATCTCTCTTTATTATTATTTACAACTCATGTAAAGATATAATTATCTCAAAATAAGTTTCATGTATGTTTAATAGGAGTTCCTTTTAGTGGGAAATGGCATTTAGATAGCTCAGTTTTGCAAGATGAAAAGAGTTCTGGAGACTGGCTGCCTAGTAATATGAATGCACTTTTTTTTTTTTATTCTCATCCAAGGACATTTTGCATTTATCTTCAGGTAGAGCAGTAGGAAGAGAGGGAGGAAAAGAGAGAGAGAAACATTGACCTGAGAGAGACACACTAGACGACCCCAACCGGGGCCAGGGACAAACTGCAACCAAGGTACGTGCCCTTAGCGGGAACCAAACCTGGGACTCTCTGGTCCATGGGCTGTCGCTCTAACTGCTAAGCCACACTGGCCAGAGCAATATGCATGTACTTAACACTACTGAACTGAACACTTAAAAATGTTAAGATAGCAAATTTTGTTATGTATATTTTATGAAAATTAAGTAACATTGTGAACTCAGATTTAAGCATATTTGAACATATCAAATATGTTTAAATCCATTGCAGATGGTGTCCATTTTTGACACTCAAATTGCCCATCTTTGGCCAGTAGAAATCTATTCTAGTAGCTTCTGACTCCATTTGATACAATCTTAAGTCTTTGAAAGCTTCCTTGCTTATCTTGGACAATTCTTGCTCCATAACTGAAATTAGTCATTTCTCCAAGGAGTTCCTTTTAGCGGGAAATGGCATTTAGATAGCTCAATTTGAACATTAGCATGTTCATTGCTAATGGGTTGTTTCTAGGCCTTTTTAAGATAAAAATAGGAAATGTTTTAGGATAGAAATACCATGAACTCCAAGTTATACTTCCAATTTAAATTTAGAATTATAAAGTTTTTACTTAACTGCATCAACCCTAAATCTGCATCTCTTTGTTCTACACCAAAAATCCGGCTTCACAAACATACTAATATTTTTTAAATATGTCTTTACTGATTTTTTTAGAGAAAGAGGAAGGGAGAGAGAGAGAGAAACATGGATATGAAAGAGAAACATCGATTGACTGCCTCCCACACGCTCCCTACTGGGGATCAGGCCTGAAACTCAGGCAGGGGCCCTGACTGAAATCTAACCGGGACCTCTCTGTCCATGGGACAATGCTCAGTCCACTGAGCCACACCGGTTGGGCAAAGATGCTAATATTTAACACTCATTTATTTTATCTCATAATATACAATAGTCTCAGAATGACACCTACCCTACCACTAACAATATGACTATTTTAAAATATTTTTGCACTTCTTTTTGTCCTTAGAGTATATTTCACTTGGGATGCCATGGTCAAATTATTGTTTTAAAGTCACTTGAATAGTTCAGTTGGGGGCATTTTACATTTTGGTAATAAAAGCCTTTATGGTATGGTCTCATGTGGTCAGGGGAAAAACTAAATTTGTCAGATATATTTGTATAATAAAGAGAAGGATCCTTTGTGGGCCTCTAGATTGTGAATTAAATGTAGAGCCAATTAATGCAGATGCTTTAGTGACACAATTTGGAATCAGCCCATGCTAATTTCATTTGGCAAGTACTAAGAGATGAATGATCCCAGATGCCTATGGCTGCAAAAATGTGACATGGCTAAATTCCTTGGCTGCAAGATTTTAAAAAGTCACAGGATTATGTTACTCCACAAAAGTATCTTTCTGAGTCTCTTTTTCTCTGTTTATCTCCCCAAGTGCCCCTCCTCTATGGATTAGTAACCATCAAAATTTATATCCCCATTTCTTCACTTCTTTGCCTTGGTTAATCTCCTCCCTCAGCAACTCAGTAGGGCGAGTGTGTGTGCGTGTGTGTGTGTGTGTGTGTCCGGAGGGAAGAGAAATTGCTATATAACTAAGGGAATGAAAATGGAGGTAGTAGGGGGCTAGACAGCTGCAAGGCTCGGACCTGGTAGACTGAAACAAACCCTCATCCTAAACAACTTAGAGCTCAGATTTCTTCTCTGGACAGCTGGCTTTTTCAGTCCTTCTGAAATACTCTGCAAAGATGGGGGGAGGGCTGTGAACTTCCTCTGTTATGGACCTTATTTAAAGTCAGCTCCCCCCTAGAAATGTTCTGTAGAAACTAAATGCAATATTCAATACAGCAGACATGAGGGCGGGAAACAAGATGCATACAATTGCCCACTCTAATTTTTAAAGGCTGGGGGCTCATTAGTGACCATGCTGGAGGGCTGCCTGGAGTAGGCAGTGACTAGAGTCATATAAGCTGGAATTGGATATCTGACTTGCCTGTCATATTTCTGTCCCCCCTCCCCTACTTGGCACCCTATACTCCACATTCTTTCTAATCCTCCTACTCTCCCCACTCCCACACCCTACCCCCACCCAAGCTCCTGGAATTTTGGACTTAGCTATTTTTAAAACAGTCAACTCACTAGCCACCTCCCTCCCCCACTCAGCTGTTCAGTGCTCCAGCCAGCCCACACCAGACCTTCTCTGGCTCCCTGACCTGAGATTGCAGCAGGCCTGGGGACCTAGGGGAGACATGGAGAAAGAGACGGGGGATCCCCTGGCTGGAGCTGACCAACAGAGTAGGCAGTCATGGCTGGAGAACGGGATAGCAGAGTAATGTTTGACCTCTGGAAACAGTAAGTCAAAATGAAATTGCAATTCCTTTAATAAGCTTTTGGATTGAAGTTAGACTTTCATAAAATTACAACAAATATCTCTGGTCCAAAAGCTAAGATCTCTTCCATGCTAAGGTGGCCCAATCTCCATTTCTCCTTCTGTCTTATTGCTTTCTGGCCTCAGGCCTCTGGCCATTTGAAGATTAATCCTCCGGCTCTCCTCTGGCAGTTTTAGCTCTTTCCTCACCTTGTTACCTCAAGACTTCTGAGGAAGTGCTCTTTAGGAGGAGTTCCCACATCCCCTAGTCTGTGGTTTTCTCATCAAGGCCAAATTTAACCTCACATGATTAGTCATGATATTCCTCTACCCTGCCCCTGCTTAGCAGTGCCCTTCGCATTGGGCCTCCAAGGATGGTGACCACTCCTGGTCCAAAATGATTTCTCCCCACAGCTCTAGTCCTGCCATCCTGTTCTCCCTCCTGCATGACTCTGCCCCCAATCATAGCCTTACCCCAAGAGAGGCAAGCCCCTCCCCAAGTCCTCTCCTCATCAAAAGACTGAGAACTTCTGAATTTGCAAACGGAAGATTAATGGAAAAAGTGATTCTTCAGTCAGGTTTGGAAATATTCAAGAACTGTTGACTCATAACAAGAAAATATTAATTTGCATGCTTGGGTTGTACCCCACAATTCGATGAGAGAGAGGGATTCTAATTGCAGCTCTCTAGAAATGGGTTCCCTTTCTATTTGATTACTGAGGGAATGGGGATTCCACCATTACTCCTTCTTGCTGAAAATTCTGACACACACACACACACAATGAATGACCCCTGCTGTTCCCTCCTGATGGGGAGAGGCAAATAAGAGGTATGTTTCTGAAGTACTTTTCAGATCCTAATTCTACCTGGGAGCCTACTGGAATGATTGGGATCTGATCTGTCCCCATGATTCCTCCTTTTTGGACATTTCTGCTGTTTGGTAGCTCAGAATGGGGCAACACAGTGGACTCTGCCCCCCACCCCACCCCACCCCAGTCCACTCAATGTTCCTCCCACCCCCACCTGGAGGTATTGCATAAGGGACCTGAAAGTGGTCACAAGAGCAGAGCACAGAGGTGTAACAGCCACACAGGGTTCAGGGAGCCCCTTCTCCCCAACCTTCAGTCTGCTTATCCTTTTCTTGATCTTTCCAGATTCCCTTCACATCATCCTGAACAATATTCAATTTTTCTCTTTCCCCATGCCCAAATTTCTCTTTCCAGTCTCTTACAGGACGGCCAGCCAAAATTCGCTAGGTAGGACAGACATCAGCTTGAAAGAACTGGAGCCTGGGGGGACCTGGCCGGATAGGTATGGGGGATCCAGGACAGTCCCCTAGTCCCCGGTTCCCCCATGGCAGTCCCCCAGCTCTAAGCACTCTCACTCTCCTGCTGCTCCTCTGTGGAAATGGTAAGGAGGGGCCAGGGAAGGACTTGGGGATCTAGAAGGCAGGCTGCTGTCTGGGGTGGGCATATGAGCAGGAGTGAGTGAGCGGAGAGGGGTGCTGAGGGGTCCCTTGCCCGCTCTCAATCAGGTGTATGTTATTTCCCATTCAACACTGGGAACGACCTCCACCGACCCGGAGAAGAGCTCTAGCGGGCTTATACGTTTTCAGCAAAACTGAGTGAAGACGGGACTAGGGACCTGGGGAAGGGGACTTGGAGAGGTCTTGTGTGGGCTTAGGAACCGCTGGAATCCCCTGGTGAGATGTGGGGGAGCATACTCCGACGGTAAGGGGATCTGGAGCCCGTCTCACAATCCTCTGCTTTATGTCCTCAGCTCATTCTCAGTGCAAGATCCTCCGCTGCAATGCTGAGTATGTATCATCCACCTTGAGCCTCAGAGGTGGGGGTTCACCAGGAGCGCTCCGAGGAGGAGGAGGGGGAGCAGGAGGAGCAGGGGGAGGCGGAGGGGGAGGCCGGGGTGGCGGGGTGGGCTCCAGCGGCCTCTGCCGAGCCCTCCGCTCCTATGCGCTGTGCACCCGGCGCACCGCCCGCACCTGCCGCGGGGACCTCGCCTTCCACTCCGCTGTGCATGGCATCGAGGACCTGATGATCCAGCACAACTGCTCCCGCCAGGGCCCCACGGCCCCTCCTCCGCCCAGGGGCCCGGCCCTTCCAGGCGCCGGCCCTGTCCACTCCGGCCCCGCAGCCCCAGACCCCTGCGACTACGAAGGTCGGTTTTCCCGGCTGCACGGTCGTCCCCCTGGCTTCTTACATTGCGCCTCCTTCGGGGACCCCCACGTGCGCAGTTTCCACCACCACTTTCACACGTGCCGTGTCCAAGGAGCTTGGCCCCTGCTGGATAATGACTTCCTTTTTGTCCAGGCCACCAGCTCCCCCGTGGCTTCGGGGGCCAACGCCACCACCACCCGGAAGGTCAGGACTCAGTTGCTCCTCCAGATCCTCCCTGGTCGCCCCACGGTGCCACTCCCACCCCAGTCCCACTACTCCTCGGGGAGGCTCCCTAGTCCCTGTTTTCCTCCCCCTCTCGCTTAGCGGTAACCTCTGCCTCCTACCAAACACTCGCTCCTGGAAATCACTTCCCCTTAGTGGGAATTTCACTCAAATTCCAAAAGACACTGAAGAGAAAGTTGGGGAAAGGAGAGCTAAGGAACCCTGGGATGAAGAGTTACAGAAGGGAACCTTTCCTTCTCCTGTGGGAGTTGCTGAGATTGTGGCCAAAAAGGAGAAAGGAGTTGAGCAGGGATGAGGCGATATTGGAACACGATGAGAAGGGGTGAGGAGTGAGGGCCATACTCAGCCTTGTGTCTCCGCTGGGATCAGACCCCTACCTAAGAGGACAGATTGGGAGAAGGGGGAAGGATGCGCTGAGCCCAAAATGAACTCTTTTCTCTCTTGCCCTCACAGCTCACCATTATATTTAAGAACATGCAGGAATGCATTGATCAGAAGGTCTACCAGGCTGAGGTGGACAATCTTCCTGCAGCCTTTGAAGATGGTTCTATCAATGGAGGTGACCGTCCTGGGGGCTCAAGTTTGTCCATTCGAACTACTAACCCTGGGAGCCATGTGGAGATCCAAGCTGCCTATATTGGTACAACTATAATTATTCGGCAAACAGCTGGCCAGCTCTCCTTTTCCATCAAGGTAGCAGAGGATGTGGCCAGGGCCTTCTCTGCTGAGCAGGACCTACAGCTGTGTGTTGGAGGGTGCCCCCCAAGCCAGCGACTCTCTCACTCAGAGCGCAGTCGTCGTCAGGGAGTTGTAACCATTGATACTGCCAGACAGCTGTGCAAGGAAGGGCTGCCAGTTGAAGATGCTTATTTTCATTCCTGTGTCTTTGATGTTTTGATCTCTGGTGACCCCAACTTCACTGTGGCAGCGCAGGCTGCTCTGGAGGATGCCCGGGCCTTCTTGCCAGACTTAGAAAAGCTGCATCTCTTCCCCTCAGATGCTGGGGTCCCTCTTTCTTCAGCAACCCTCCCAGCCCCACTCCTTTCTGGGCTCTTTGTTCTGTGGCTTTGCATTCAGTAACTAAGCCAGCAAGCCCTTGATTGGTTTGGAAATGATTTGGAGATAGAGATGGGCAGGGAAGAACATAAAGAATCGCTGAAGGAAACAGCGGGGACTGGGAGACACATGACACAATGACCTTTATCCAGAGTTCAATAAGGCCACAGCTCAGAGGTGAAATGATCACAGAACAAGGATTTCTGGACCAGGTTTCTGCATTCCAGACTCTTTAGGGACTCTCCACCAGTTTCCTCAATCCCGTTTACAGTAAGTGAATTGTCCGGCCCATCTACTCCTGAGATCACCTGACAAGCTCAGAGGTTGTACTTGTCCTGATGATTAGTAGAAAACTGAGAGTTTTAACAGGAAAGAACTGAAAGAGGAAGACAAGAGCACTATCCCCCAAAAAAACACAATGACTTCTAAAATGATTAGGGAAAAGAGTAGTTGATGAATAGATGTGGGTAAGATGTGTTCTGCTTTCTTGGTTCAGAAATGAAGTGGGGGTGGTCTGGATCTTGGGGCGAAGGAATCTCTTCCTCTGGAGAATGCCACAGATAGGAAACTATCATCCTCACCCCTAACTAATATGCTATTAAAGCTCTGAATTATTCACTCCTCCTCTGTTGCCCATGTTGAATCTCTTCACAGATGCTTGAAAATGAGTGGAGACAATGTACTCACTCCACTGAAAGAGGGCTTGGAAGCCTCAGACATTGTTTCTGCCCGCAGGAAGTTTACAGGCTGTCAGGGGGACAGACCTGATTCACATGAAGGAGTGATGAGTGTGTAATTATTCACTAAATTCTATAGTCTGTGGATTCTGATGAGAAGATGGCTGGAGAGAAGCCAAGAAATAATAAGTAATAAGAGGTAATAGAGGAGATGGGATTTGAAGTGATCTTTGAAGATTGGGTAGGATTTGAATTGTTAAGGACCTTCCAGGCAATGGAAACCATCTGACGTTATGCATAGATTCATGACCCAGTGAGGAACCCAGCAGCACTCAAATGACTAGGCAGGAAGTAATGGAAGAGAAGGTAAGGTGGGCGGAGACCAGATTATGAAGCACCTTGAAAGTGGAGCCAAGGAGTTTAGATTCAATTAACAGCTAACATTTCTTCAGAGCTTAAAGCTTGTCGAACAATGTCCTTTTTTTTTTTTTTAATCCTCACCTGATATTTTTCAATATTTTGTTCAGATAAAGTGGGAGTGAGAGAGAGAGAAACATCGACGTGAAAGGGACACATCGAGTGGTCACCAACCGCACAACCCAACCAGGGCCGGGGACAAACTGGAACCGAGGTACGTGCCCTTAGTGGGAACAGAACTCGGGTCTCTCAGGACCACAGGCCGACGCTCTAACCGCTGAGCCAAACCGGCTAGGGCTCGAAAGGGTTCTAAACACTTTTTTTTATCCTCACCCAAGGATAAGTTTTTATTTATTTTAGAGAAGAAACATCAATTGGGTTGCCTCTTGTACACATCCTGACCTGGGAGCGAACCTGCAACCTTTTGGGTGTGCGGAACGATGCTCCAACCAAATGATCTACCCAGCCAGGACTGTTCTAAACACTTTTAAAATATTAATTCATTTTATCCTCACAGCTCTCTAAGGAAGGTAATATTTTCATCTCTATTTTTATATTAGGAAACTGAGGTACAGGAAGATTAAGCAACTGGTCCACAGTCGAACAGCTAATGAAGTGTAGAGCCAGAAACTGAACGCAGGCAGTTTGGCTCTAGAGCCTTAACTCTTTATTTTATATTTTAATTTTTTTTCTTTATTGATTTTTAGAGAGAGAGGAAGGGAGATGGACAGAGAGATAGAACATTGATTGGCCACCTCCTGTATGCCCCCCACGAGGTATCAGGCCCACAACCTGGGCGTGTGCCCTGACCAGGAATTGAACCACTGACCTCTTGGTGCAATGGTCCATGGTCAACCACGGAGCCACACCAGCCAGGCAAGCCTTAACTCTTTTAACTGCTATACTATATTGTCAAGGAAATGGAGAGCCATTTAAATTTTCGTTGTGAGCCCACCCATGTGGCTCAGTGGTTGAGTGTCGACCCATACACCAAGAGGTCACTGGTTCAATTCTGGGTCAGGGCACATACCCAGGTTGTGGGCCTGATCCTCAGTGGGGGGCACGCAGGAGGCGGCCAATCGATGTTTCCAACTCTCCTTACCTCTCCCTCCCTCTCTCTCTAAAATCAATAAAGAAAAACAATTTTTTAATGTTGGTGGTGGAGCTGGGCAGAAAGGAGAGTTATGGTGAAGGGACCAGCACAAAAGCTATTCCTTCTTCTGTCATATGAAACCCAAAAGTGAGAGCTGGGCGGGGACGGGGGGACCAAAGTTGAAGGAATCTGGTTTGTAGAAGAGAAGACTTGAGAATAGAAGCTGTTCTAGTCCAGGAGGTTCTAAAGTAACAGTGCTGCTCTGAAGAAAGATGATTTCGGCCCCAGCAGGTCTGGCCCAGCTGTTGGAGCACAGGCCCGAGGAACGAAAAGCTGTAGGTTTGATTCCCACATTAATGTTTCTCTCTCTCTCCCTCCCTCCCTTCCACTCTATCTAAAAATCAGTGGGAAAATATCCTCAGGTAAGGATTTAATGACAACTACTTAGGAGGTCACTTTTATTATATTCAGTATTTCCCCTGCTTTTTCTTCTGGTCTCAGTCTCCCTCTTCAGCTACTCTATTATCTAAGGCCTGTCCCTGCTCTGATCATGTATTGACACTATGGTCCCCCTCTTCTCTCAGCCTCACCCACCTGACCATACTGCCCCAGAACACACACAGGTGTCCTAGATGGCCTGCCAGTGCAAATTTCTTTTGCGAGTCTCCATCCTCTAGTTCCTCCTCGAAGGACCACAGCAACTCTGCCATTCCCTCAAAGTATAGTCTCTTTAGTTTCTGGAGTGACCTGTAGTTAATCTAGAAATCAATCTGTTCTAATGGAAGGAAATGGGAAGAAAATATCTAGGGCTCTCCCTGCACTGTCAGATAACAGGCATTTTAACTCGAAACATCTTTTTTAGAAACTGTTCCTTATATTGGTGCTCTTAACTCACCAGAGTAACTTTATCCTTCAGGTTTGGGAATCTCTAGTAAGTTAAGAAGAATTTCATAACTAACTGGTGAAAAAGATCCTTTAATGATACCTGTCATGTAACACTGTTTCCTGGGCCCAAATTTAGGATTAGCCCTATTAGGAATGCTCTATTTAAAAAGGAGTAGGTCAGCCCTGGCTGGTTTGGTTCAGTGGTTAGAGCATCCGCCCACGGACTAGAGAGTCCCAGGTTCGGTTCCCGCTAAGGGCACGTACCTCAGTTGCAGTTTGTCCCTGACCCCAACTGGGGTCGTGTGGGTGGCAGCCACTCTATGTTTCTTTCTCACACTGATGTTTCTTTCTCACATTGATGTTTCTCTCTCTTTCTCTCTTCCTCCCTCTCTCCCTCCTGCTCTATCTGAAGAAAAATGCAAAAGTATCCTCAGATGAAGATAAAAAAATAATAATAATAAAATAAAAAGGAGTAGTTTAAAATAAGCACTTGAAAAGATGCTTAACATCTTCAGTCACTAGGGAAATGAAAAGCAAAATGAAACCACAATGAGACAATACTACACACCATTAGAATGGTTAAAATGAAAAAGATTGGCCTTACCGCCCTGGCCGGTTTGGCTCAGTGGTTAGAGTGTCAGTCTGTGGTCCAGAGAGACCGGGTTTTGGTTCCTGCCAAGGGCATGTACCTCGGTTGCAGTTTGTCCCTGGCCCTGGTTGGGTCATATGGGAGGCAGCCACTCGATGTGTCCCTTTCATGTCGATGTTTCTCTTTCTCTCTCTCTTCCTCTCTCTCCCTCCCACTCTAACTGAACAAAAAATGGGAAAATGTCCTCGGGTGAGGATAAAAAAAAAAAAAAAGATTGGCCTTATCAACTGTTGGCAAGGGGGGGAGCTCTCACACTCTGCTGGTAGGAACATAAAATAGTACAACCACCCACCTTGTAAAACAAACTGGCAGTTTCTTTAAAAGCTAAGTATATCCCTGGCCTGTTTGGCTCAGTGGTTGGAGCGTTGGCCTGCGGACCCGAGAGTCTCAGGTTCGGTTCCCACTAAGGGCACGTACCAAAAAGAAAAAAAAGAAATAATAAATAAAAGCTAAGTATACACTTATCATACAGTTGAAACATTCCACTCCTGAATATTGACCCAGAGAAATGATCATCATCTTTCTGTACAAAGACTTGCATACAATTGTCCATAGTAGTCTTAACTAAAATAACCAAAAACTGGAAACAAGCCAAATGCCCATCAATAAGTGAATGGAGCCTGGCTGATGTGGCTCAGTGGTTGAGTGTCGCCAGTTCGATTCCTGGTCAGTGCACATGCCCAGGTTGTGGGCCCCATTCCCAGTGGGGGGCACGCAAGAGGCGGCCAATTGATGTTCATTGATGTTCATCAATGTTTTATGTCTCTCTTTCACTCTTTAAAAAAAAAAAAATAGTCCTGGCCGATTTGGCTCAGCGATTAGAGTATCAGCCCTTTGGACCAATGAGTCTCGGGTTTGATTCAGGTCAAGGGGACATACTTTGTCCTGGTTCTGGTCAGGGTCCTGCAGGAGGCAACCAGTCAATGTGACCATATCAATATTTCTCTGTCTCTCTCTCTCTCCCTCCCTCCCTCTTACTCTATCTGATGATAAATAAAAGTATCCTCGGGTGAGGAATAAAAACAATAATAATTTTAAAACAAAATAAGCCCTGGCTGGTTTGGCTCAACAGTTAAAGCATCGGCCTGCGGTCCAGAGAGACCCAGGTTCGGTTCCCACTAAGGGCACGTACCTCGGTTGCAGTTTGTCCCCAGCCCTGGTTGGGTCATGCGGGTGGCAACCACTTGATGTGTCCCTTTCATATCGATGGTTCGCTCTCTCTCTCTCCCTCCCACTCTATCAGAACAAAAAATAGAAAAATGTCCTTGGGTGAGGATAAAATAAATAAATAAATAAATAAAAATAAATAAATAAGTGAATGGATACATCAAATGTGGTAAATCCATACAACAGAAGACCACTAAGCAATAAAATGTAATATACTACTGATCCACATAACATGATTAATTTCAAAATAATAATGTGAGTGAAAGAAGCCAAACAACAAAAAGGAGTACATACTCTATGCTTCTATTTATATAAAATTATAGAAAGTGCAAACTAATATATAGTGACAGAAAAAAAGATCAGTGATTGCCTGGGGATGAATGGAGGGAGGAAGGAATGGTTTACAAAGGGGCATGAGGAAACTTGGGGGTCACATGTTCATTATCTTGAGTGTAGCAACAATTCCATGGGTATACATATATCCAAAATATGAAATTATACACTTTAAATATGT